ATTTAGATCAGTAACGAGGTGTGCTGCTTCAACTATGCCTGTCCGGGCCAAGCCAGGCTGATAGGGATACAACATCCCAGCAGACAGATGGAGATACTGGGTACAAATTCTCCCCACACAGGAATCAAACTCACATCTTCTGCATACGACGGCAAAGCGTCTGACCGCTAAAACAAAGATACTAGTGAGTTGGAGACTCCAACAAAATGATTGTAAAGATTTATAAGATTATAGTATGAATTATTTTCTGCTGATCTGCAATCACCAAAAGAGAAAAGTCATCCTCAGCAGCTGCTGAGATAATTGGTACTGTAATGAATGTGTCCTCAGTAAGACTAGGCTGTAGAAAAAGCATATAGACTAATATAGAGTTTCCAGCTTACATGTGGCCATTTTATATCAATAGCACCAAGTTATATTCATTAGGTCTAACAATAAAACATGACTCATGGGGTTATAAAGAAGAACATCTTCAACTGGAATTTCAGAGACAAAAATATAATTTTGTGTAACTAGAAGAACAGTGAAAGTACATGAGTATGATAACTGTTCGAAGAGATAGAATGACTTTTGAGAAAACAGCAAGGTCAATGGTGATGGTCTATGTATATATCATAGTATGCAACATATACAGTCAAACCTGCTCTCCATACACTCATATGACCTTATGCAGTTGCGAGCGCTGTAAAACACTTACAAAAAAACAAACAACAACCAAAAAACCTGCTTTAACGGCCACCTTTATAAGACAATCACCTGTACATACAGCCACTTCCTATTTCCTCCCTTGCGTATTGTTGACATAATAATGACATCGTGTGAGACATCCAGCTGTCTAAGATGACCATTTTACTCCTTGACAATGGGTGGCCATGCCGTCAGGCAGTTTCCACCGTATTTACCATGAGGGTCTATGAACTGTCTAGGAAGAGGAAGGGTAATTCTTCTGAGGTTTAGATTGTACAAAACTACAATTGGTATTGCCATATTTTACGTCCCAATCCATACAATTTAGATCCCTTAGGAGGCAGGCTGCTTTGACCAGGGCTAATTTCCTCATGAACCAAATTGTACTCAATTCTTCTCCATCAAAACAGCACAGAGACCTACTACAGTTACACCACAGGTGTGGGTGAAGTTTCAGTTAAAAGAACACATTTACATTGGCAAAAAGAGTGGTGATTTTTGCAGGTTATACCAATGAAAAAAAGCAGCAGCATTTAATAATACGCATGTTCAACTAACATGAGGCTTCATTAAACACCAAAACTCGAAAGCATTTGGTACAGAGTAACATTATAGAAGTAAATATCATGCTAAGAAAAAGTCAAACTATACAGTACAAATAACAATATATCCTGGCCTGCCTTAAGCAACAGGGAATTGGTAAACAAGACATTTGGTACAACCTCAACCACTGTGGTGGGGCAAAAGCTACTATTTTGGCACAATACGAACGATTCAGTTAGCAACCTTTAAAAACAAAAGCATTTGATTTTGAAGGTCACAATCAAATTTAGTCCAACTTGGTAGAATTGTGCCAAAATGGTGACTTTTGAGCATCCGTAGAGAAAATTCTGGCTGGCCCCTACTGAATCAAATGAATTCGATTCGCAGTGTGCACTCGTTATTACAGTACCAATACAAAAAGCATCTCATGTACCCAAACATATAGTTCAAATAAACCACAAAACACATAAGTGCATCAAAGTATCAGCATGCAAATATCGTTGATGTCACTAGCAATTCACATAAGTCAAAATCTTGAGAATTTTTTATTTTTATACCTTCCCACCTTTCAACATCACCAAAATGCAGTTTAATGCTATGGTCACTGCTTACAATTCTCTTTCTTTTCATGATTCCTGATAGGAACAACACCAGAAAAACTAGTGTTTTTGTCTCCACTGTAAAATGTACCGAAGTGGACTTAAGGGGATCGCTTGCAACACCGATGATATAAGGTCTGAGACATGCCTAAATAAAACACATATGGCCACCACAGGGGAATCACAGCATAAGTCAAGGGAAAGATATTAAGGGCAGCTGTCTTTCTTTCTTGTGTTCATATGGACAACTGTGACATGCTTTCCATGTACGACTGTAATAGTTATGTAATTAGTACTCCGATTACAGCCGTTTCTGGTAAAAATGGTATAAATGGACAACAGGGAATAAGCCAAAAAATGAATAAAAACAGACAACAGTAAAATTTGAAAATAGTGACTGATGCTCTTTCCCCCTGTGTTCTTCACATGCATTTTTTAGTCCTTATAATAAGTGATGGAAGATCTGAACAAAAAGTTGAAAAGTATCTATGGTTTGAGGAATGTAGGACTACATGCATATATATAGATCTATATACTACTATATCCGATAAGGAATGGAAACACTCGAGATCCCATACTTTGAGGATATAAAGCTGTATCTCTCAAACTTTGGCAAACATTTGGTGTGGGAAAGCATCCAATTCTGACTCACACTGACAGCCAGAAGAATGTTTATTGATAGAAATGGTGTTTCTTTTATTTTAAAGGAATCATATTGAAATGCAGATTACCATTATCAGCAACAGGCAATACATATATTTGTATTTCACTTTTTCAGCAATTGTTATTTTCATTGTCTGAACTGCTTGAACAAAATGAAAATCCAATGAAATTTCATCTATTATTTACGAAACATGAGAAGACGAGAATTTTTTGAAATACCACTTCGCATGGGAACAAAATAGTTTTGAATAGGGAAAAGACAAGTCCATAAACAAAATGTGAAATTTTAAAAAAATGCAAGACTGCGACCTGGACATTTTACTGCAAAGTCACAACGAAAACGTTGACATTTTGCTAGAAACACATCATACAAATAGTACCATCCAAAAGAAGGAAGACTAAACTGAGCACCCATCAACCACTAAATACAATCTCAGAAGTTCTAAGATTCCAGGGATGGATGGGGAGGGAGAAAGAGAGAGAAGAGAGAGAGAGAGAGAGAGGAGGGGGGGGGGGGGGGGGGGGGAGGACAAAACAAAGAAACAGGCAGGCCAAAGCATTTTGAGAGGTTTAGTACACAGAGCTATACAAACTTTTCTGTGCTATTTTAACATGCAGTTTTAATGCAACCCACTTCAGACTGAGCCACAAATTGCAGATAACAAGTGTATTATGCTCCCGTTGGTGCAAGACTTTTAGGGCATTTCTTCTCTACTATCAGATGACAGGCTTAGGAACCTGGACACTTCTGTGGCCTGTTAAGTCTCCACAAATTAGATCTGTCAACCCTCTCCTCACTTCCATTCCTCATCTCCCCCCCCCCCCCCC